AAAAAAAAAAAAAAAAAAAAAACCTTTGAAATGGTCATCTAGATTTCTTTCTCATGGTGAAGGTAAGATTTGATCAAGGAACAAAAAATATGATTATCTTTCACCTAAAATTTGACATTATTTTTCATCATACGTACATAGAAATAGTCAATTTTTTTTTGCTTTTGGATTAGTTTGTAACTTGTGTTGATTGTCGATTCTATATTAAATATTAAAGAGGTGGAAGAGATCAAACATTTGATTAACATTTTTCTTCTCTATTTGACAAACAGATAAAAAGTAAGTGATTTTATGGGAAGTGGAATGAAACAAGGCTGGTTCAAAGATGACACTCCTATAATTTACGTCAGCAAGAAATCATCTTCCGAAACATCTATAACTTGCCTATTGGAAAAAAAAAAAAAAAAGAATAAAAAAAACAAAAACAAAAAAAAAAGGAAGTTTATTAGTCTGGACTGGCCTTTTTTATTTTTTATTCTTATTAAGTAAAGTCCATTCTTGTAATGGTCCTCTAGGTGAAAAATAAAAATTATTTTTTTTGCGAAATTATCAAAAAATGACCAAAACCAAGATTTAAACCCTTGGCCACTTGCAGCAAAAGAGGGGTACTGACTACATGATCTATAACCTCTTTTTGATATGGTTTTGGTTTGAACATGGTTTGAAAACTATTGATTTGATGTTATTTGTTTTTTTTTTTTCCAAACGATAGATATTATTAACAAACACGAAAACTAGAGCCCAGCTATACAGTCGAATACAACAACCACACGGCCGAATATAACAGCCACACGGCCGAATACACAGCTACACAACTGAATCTAGCATGGAGAACTACAACAAAGTGTAGCCTAGAACCTACCTATAACAACACACACGCTAAAAAACGCTCCCAACCGGAGAATAAAGCTCCCAACAGGAGAATACACGAAACGCACTCCCAACGGGAGAGAAAAAACGAAAACACAGCCTACACACAAACAAACACCTAGAACATAACTCGAAAAACAAAAATGCAACAACACCACCCTTCCCAAGCCGACAACCACATCGAGCTAACCGACGGTCACGCCTACCAACATCCATCCACACGGACAGGGCTACGATCCAAGAGCCTGAGCTAGAAACTGCCGAACTAACGCCTAACTGGCCCAAACACCACCGAACCCAGCCCACATCCAGATAGATAATCGAGACCCAAACCTGGAGTCACACACCACCAGCCACCCACAACAGACTAAACAAGACCAGGCCTAGATCCTGAATCCCAGCCCTCTGCCTATCGTCGCCGGTGATCACCCCCGCCCAACACTAGAGACGAGAGTGGCACGGAAGCTGGAAACGGAGCCCTCCGCCCCAGATCCCTCACAATGGGAGACCCGAACCCGATCACCCTCACCATCAACACCACAACAAACCAGCAAGATCAAGCCCAGTCTCTGGAATCCCGACCTCAGCCCAATCTCGCCGTCAATCACCCCCGGCCAACACCAGAGACGGAGGGGACTCAGCAGCTGGAAGCAGTAACATCCACCTCGGATCTCCCAGAAAGGGATACGAGGTCGCGACCCACTCCAGATAAACGCTAGAGGCTCGCCCAACACGCGAATGCACCGACAAGAAAACGGCTGCCCTTCCCGACGTCCTAGCAACCTTTAAATCGGCGACACCTAGGATGGGAAGTGGGCCGCATCTGCCGGCGAAGATACCTCCTCTGAAGCGGCGATTCACCTAAGAGCGGGCCGCGAGGCCCGAGGACGCCCCACCGAGAAGCCCTGTGCAGATCTGCTAGGGAAGGTGTCGGAAAAAGGAGCAGACGAGACGAAGAAGAAGGGTTGATTTGGGCGTGCTTTTAGAGAGAGAAAGATGATTTTTTAATTTGATGTTATTTGTAAGATGGTATAGTTGTGAATTATATCTCGCATGTGACTTGATAATGGGCAATGAGTTCCCAACGGCTTGTGATGATACTAAGTCGAACGATATATATGGATGATTGAGTAGCGCCCGTTAAATTGTTTTCAAAGCGATAAATAAATTTCGAAAAATTTACTCTATTTTTCAAAACTCAGAATTTTGCTTATAAAAATAATTGGGCATTACAATGTAGTATAAGAGCATGACTACGTTTCTTTAGACTGCTGAAATTTTTTGAAATTTTTTTAAAAAGTTGTAAATGACCACTCGTCTTTGTCAAGTCGCGCCAGCTCAAAGGTATGTTTATGTGATAAATCGGAGTTTGTTTATTGCTTGTTTGGCTTTATTTTGGGGCTTAGAAACTAATCTTCTATCTAAAGGACTTGAACTCTCGATGAATATCACACTTTAGTCGAATTGAGTTTTGACTCTAGTCACAATCAAAGTTAAAGGTAAATTTTGCCTAAAGAGGTTACCTCAATTTAGTTTGGCAGTGGGCCATGAAGCGAGTTTATATTGTAACAGGTTTCTAGTGTATAAGAGCCACGATTCCGTGTTGACCATGGAGGCGTGAAGATGGACCATGAAAGACATACTTGCAGTGACGTTAGCTGGTAAAAAACAGAAGAGTCAAAGAAAATAATATGTTAAGCGATAAGACAAGGATCGTGTCACAAGTTATTTTGATAAGGTAGAAGAACTTGAGAAAATGGATCGCCAAAGGATTGTTGGTGAACACTTTCGAAAGCTCTAAGAAGAAGAAGTCAGCTGAAGAAGTCTCATTTGTGCGAGAGTATCCAAACAGTTAGAACAATTGTCAGAGGACACGGTGGAAGCGTGATGGAATCCACAATCTAATTAGTACAAGGGGCATAAGCAAGTGTTACTGTTTGACACCAACAAAAGAGTCACAAGAATCAAGAGCGTTAGTATTGTTGTAACCCTCGAGGTTAGCTTAATCTCAGGAAAGACGATAGTTACTAACCCTCTTGTAAAAAACTCAAATGCTAGTTAATGAGGAAAGATTCGACGGTCGATGCCTTCGGGATCGACATGAAGGATTTTGATGACTTCGTGGGAAGAACTGATTGAATAAGTATCGGGCAGACATCTAGTGCCATGATCTTGAAGTGACACTCCACCTGGAAGGAGATGATAAGATCGATTTCAACGGGGCGAGAACGAGAATAGTGCTGAAGGAGGAGCCTGCAAAATAAGGTTAGCTGAAGACTTTTGGAGGACGCTGTCGGGAACGACAAGGAAAAACCATCATCGAAGGACGTGTCAATCATTCGAGAGTACCTAGGAGTCTTTCCGAAGGAGATACTAGGAGGGCCACCATACGAGCAAGGCGAGTTTGCAATCGACTTGACACAGGGAGAAATTATCCATTTCATGAAGAAGAAGGTTGTGCATCCACTACCGTGAACTCAGAAGACCGATAGCGAAGAATAATTAACCGCTACCAAGGAATTAGGATTTGTTTGATCAATTGAGGGTAGCTGGAATATTCTCGAAGATCGATTCGAGATCTGACTGCCACCAGCTGAAGAGCAAGAGGGTGCGACGTGTCAAAGATGACAACTAGAAAAAAAATAAGGGCACTACATGTTTGTAGTAATGTCTTTCGGACTAAGCAACATGCCGACGATAGTTATGGATCAATTAGTCGTCGTGTTTATCGATGACGTCTTAGTCTATTCTGGAAACACCGTGGAGCATCTAAAGCGACACTAGAAACACTTAGACGAGAAAAGGCTTCACGCTAAGATCTTGGAGTGTGAAATTTTGGGCAGTGAAGGTGGTTTAACCTCGTTTAGGACTACTGACACGATTAGCTACCTGAGAGTGATGACGTCTCGACCGACGCTTGTAGTCGGAAGGGTTGAAAAAACTAGTCGTTTGAGTACCCAGCAGAAGCTGCTGATTTAGGAGTATATTTGATTAGAGATCGAGATTGCGGAGTAGCCGATTGTAGCTAGTCGTGGGATCAACTATGCGAAAAAGGGTTGTACCGAGCAGCTTAGCAATAAATCCTATAACCCTGGTGAGAGGTTTCTCGAGTGGGCAAGATAGGAATTCAACAGTGGCATCGGACGGAACATTGGTGTTCGAGTTAAGACTATGTGTTTTGAAGGTGCCGAAACTACAGAGAGAATTGTAGAAGAGATAGTACAAATGTATGGGGTGACGTGATGAATGTCTCTGACCGATATGCACAGTTCACCTTTAAGCTAATAGATGAGGCTTCAGCGTGCTTGGGCACAAAGCTGAAGTTTGGTACTGCGTACTTCCCGCAGACAGTTGAACACCTAAAACGAATGATCAAGACACTAGAGGAACCGTCGACATCTTGTGTTCTCAAGATGACGCACTAGAAGATATGTCACCATTTTTAGAGTTCATCCATAACAATGGTTATCGGGCGGCAATTCAAGTGGCACCGTACGAGGCCTTGTACGGGCGCAATTGTAAATCGTAGTTCCTTGTAGAACGAGGTTCGTGTGAGGATCATTGCTGCATAGGACAACAGAAGTCCTACGTTGAGTAGCGTAAGAAGGATCTACACTTCGAGGTAGGCGTCATGGTCTTCTGAAGGTTGCACCGATGAGGGGTGTGATTCAATTGGGAAGATAGGGAAGTTACAACAGTGTTTTATCGGTCCTTTTGAAATTCTCGATCGAGTTGGTGACCTAGCCTATCGGTTGGCTCTACCACAGAGCTTGCGGGAGTTGCATGGTGCATTTTGTGCCTCGATGTTGAGGAGATATGTGTATGATCCCGAGCGTGGTGAACTTGGACGAGCTGCATTTTGGGCAGACCCCTACGTGTGAGAAGGTACCGGTGGCTATGTTGGATTAGAGGGTCCAATAGTTGAGGAACAGGGAGGGGGTACACGTCAAAGTCCAGT